AAAAAAAAACATGCTGATTATGGAAAATTCATATATCAAAATTTAAACTATGTATTTCGACAGATTTTAATTTAATTCAATTTAAAAATCGCGATCGTGTATTTCTGACATTGAATTCTCAGTGTGCACAAAGTGTAGGCATTGAAGGCATTCATGAATGTCGACACGATTGATTCTTTGAATCAGATGCTTCGTGTTACTTGATAGCGCAGAGGCATGCCAGGGAAAACAGAGGAAGAAAAACAAGTTCTGGTTTTTCTTGATTGAAGGCTTTGATTTGTTGAAGGGCAATTCCGTATAGCCTGGTTTCCAAAGATCGTGTCGCAGGCATATCAGCAAAACAAAATGCATCGCCAAGGACCCGAATGCCATGGCAAAATGTTTTAAGTTTACTTTGTTATTTTGATACAAATAAGCTTCTGGTTGACATAGATTTGACTGGTCCTCAACTTTCCATGCTGCACTGTGCCTGACCGAAAAAAAAACCCTTAAAATGAGTAGTGATTCAGTGTTCCAATCATGCCTGCGACGGCTAGAAATGTGACCCGTATTATTTGCCTTTTGGAGATCATTTCAGGTCGGTTCACTGTAACACTATCGGCAAATAAACTTTACTAATAGTTCCTCGATCTACGAGATTTATGAAATTTGCTTTTCCGCACTCTCAGTGACAATAAGTACTGTTATATTAACAAAATAAAAATAAACAGTACTGTTGCACCTACGAGTAAATAATACGTTAAGGCTTCAGTATTTTCTGTTTCAGATTACGTATCTTGGCGACACACGGGAAAGGGAACATGGTTTGTTCAATCCATTGTCGATACATTTTATCGTGAAGCACACAAATATGACGTTTTACAAATGTTGGTGAATGTAAGTACTGAAATAACATGAACTACATTATTTTGCATTGAAAGTGTGTTAAATTCATTAGAACACCAATCAAATATAAAACATAGCTGCCAGAAGAAGTGACATGTCGTAAGAGGTGACTTATGTAAATACAGTCCAACATGCACAGCCTTTTTAAGAACCAGTGAAATGCTTTTCTGTATATTTTGACAGTTTAATCAGAACTGTTCACTTTATGTAATATTTTATTTCACCAGGTCAATCACGCGATCTCTCAAAAGCAAACAACAATGGGCAATAAACAGGCACCAGAGATAGTTACCAGCTTACGCAAGAAAGTTTTCTTCAACATAACTCCAGGTAAGCAAAAAGAATCACATCTTCCCGAGGTGTATTCGGCCGAATAATAAAGACTCGAGATCAAAAGTAAGCAAAAACAACGAACCTGGAACGTGTTAAGGTACAAACAATGCTGCCAGTCCTGCTGAAGATCTCATCCTTTTATCAAATGTCTCAAATCTCCCACCCAGTTGCAGACCCCACCTACAAAATTGTTTCCCAACTTCAATAAATCATTCCTAACTAAAGCTGGAACTTCAAGGTTATGATCTTCATAAGGTTATTTTTCTCATCAATGTTATTTCTATGTGTTTCCACCTAAATTGCACCACAACTCCTAGCATTCACGCACCTCACATTCATTTATCAGTACTTACTCCTCCTGAAGTGATTTGGGACTACATTGAATCAGGTTATCCTTTGGGCGGATTGCTGGCACAATTTAGTCTCCATCTTACAGATTTCAAATATTCAATGTTACATGTTGTCCCTAAATCTGATCTTCACAAAACTCGTGTAATTTACAATCTTTTTTTTTTATCCCAACCTGGTCTCGGTTGATTCTAACATTCCAAGAGAGTTCTCTGTGGCACTTCATTGATGCTGTTATCGCACATGTCCAACATTTTGTTCGTGGTGCTCTTTTAGGTATATCTTATATTCAAGATATGTTTTCCACATTTTACCAATTATCAACTGCGTCCATCCCTTAAAGGCCCAGTGGGTCACCTGTGACCCACACATTTGACACATCCCCACCCACACCACACAAAATGAATCCACTTCATTTTGCCATTTCCTATTCCTTATGTACTAGTTTATCCTTGTTGACCAATTAGAAACTAGATCATTATCCTTCACTTCACTCAGATATGTCTGCCTCCATAAGAAGGAGTTAATGCTATTGTCTAGTGGGTTTTTATGTGTCTGTATTGTCATCTCAAGGTAAATAATAATTTCAATATTCTGCCTTTTCATTATAAATACAATAGTCTTAAACCACACAGAAATGTTTTATACAGTTGTTAGCTACGCTTCCAGGTTTAAATTTATTTTTTATGTTGTTATTGTAATAAAAAGAGGTTTGTGATATCTTGAAACTTAGTCATTTGTTTACCTCTAAAGCCCAGTGGGTCACCGGTGGAACATAACCAAAAACTAGGTCAATGTTGCCCAAAACATTTTTTTCAACATTTATTGATAAATATGCTTATTACAACCCTATTACCTAGGTATTAAACATTTCATGCAAGAAAAACATGTCTTGGGCCTTTAAGGGTTTTTCCTGGAATGATCTGTTTTATTATGAGAAATGTTTGCCAATAGGTGCAAGTTGTTTGTGCCAGATTTTTTAATCTATGAGTAAAGCTATGCAATGGATTATGTTGGAGAGATTTCATGATTCGGCCATGTCCTGTATACTAGATGATATCTGTTTCATTGGACCTCAAAATTCCAAGAAGTGTCAGGTTGATTTTTCTTGTGTTATGCACATGGATAAACATTTCCATTAACGCAGTAAAAAACTTTACTCTGACCACTTGTTTAACGTAAACAACCTTTACTCTGACCACTTTTGTTTATTTTATCTCATCGAAATATATTCAATACAAATGAAACCTTGGATAGGCTTTTAGGGTTCAATCTGAAATAAAATTTCAGGCATCGGTCAAACGTGTCTAATTTGGTTCAGTTTTGTTGTGGGATATGGTTGATTGGGTGAGTAATGACCCACCCACTTATTGTCCATGTGGTTCAAGTATGGTGATTTTGATGATCAAGGTAACTGCTAACTCCCTTGTTTCATTAAGTTATCTGCTATTCCAGGTTCTCTGTTCGAACCAGTAATTTCATTGTGCAACCTTAAATTACTCCTAATGTGCCCCCTAGTCATGCGATTCCCAGATTGTAACTTACTTTGATGTGTTTAGGATCTTATTATTTTTTTACTATTAAAAATGATAATTTTCAGTCATATGCACTTTACCTCATTTGCCTTTGAGCAAAAACAGAGCTGCATTGTGCTAATGATCATTTGGCTACATAAAACAGCAATTTAGATAATTGTGTTTATGTAGGGAATGTCTACATCAGTGAGATTTAAGTCATCCAGCTTTTTACCTGCTTGATATTTACCCGCATTGTTACGTAGTGCAGTTTAAGCAGCTACACTGGAAGATTACTTGCTTCGTTATTTCATTTTTATTTGGACACATTCCACCTTCCCCCATCACCCCCCTTAGTCCTTGTGTTTTTCTCTAT